TTAGGGTTTAGGGCTTGGGGGGTTTAGGGTTTAGGGTTTAGGGCTTCAGGTTTGTGGGTTTAGGGGTTTAGGGTTCAAGGTTTAGGGGTTTAGGGTTTTAGGGGTTTAGGGTTTAGGGTTGAGGGGTCCAAGTACCTAAATAGTATGTAAGTAGGGCCCGAGGTACCTTTGTAGCAACCCATTTTTATCACAAATTATCTACTATTTGAATACTTGGAATCTTAAGGTTAAGGAAGCTACATTGGGTTTAGGGTTTAGGGGTTTAGGGTTTTTAGGGTCTTTTGGGTAAGGGTTTTGGGAGTGAGGCTTTCAGGGTTTAGGGGCTTAGAGCTTAAGGTTTCAAGAGTTTAGGGGTTTCAGGGTTCGAAGTCAATGCAAGCTCCTTAACAGCAACCCAGTCGCATGACCGCTGCTGTAGATCCACATGAAGGCTGGTGTCAAACCTGAATCAAGGGACCTATGGTGCTGGGTGTGGAGTTTAGGGAGTTTAGGGGTTTGGGGATAGGGTTTCGGGATAAGGGTTCAGGGCTTGAGGTTTCCAAAAAGGGGTCAGGGTTTCCGGAAAGAAGGATGAGGATTCCGGAGTGTGGATGCTTTTGTACCAACCCTAAACCCTAAACCCAAACCCTAAACCCAAACCCTAAACCCTAAGGTTTCGGGGTTACACTTTAAAGGGTCATGGTGAGTTCCAGCCGGAGCTAGGCCCTCGCTTTTGGTGGTCAGTTTAGGGTTTAGGGAATGTATAGGGATTAAAAAGGATCATGTAGGGGCTATATAGGGATTATATAGGGGTTAGAGTTTAGGCTTTAGGCTGGGGTTATATAGGCTCATATAACCCAGACCCCTGATTAAGAAACCCCCTCCCCTTAATAGGGATTCTAATAGGGATCCTAATTCCCAGGCACTGAAAAGGAGTGATTCTTTAATGAATCATGGGTCTACCTTAGGATGGTTTAGGGTTCCCCAAAACCAGGCCCACACAAAGAATTTCCTTGAAGAACAGGCCTGTACAGAGCTCCATCTTTGCTTGCTTGTGGAAGGGCTAAGGGGCATCGCCTTGAAACATGTACTATAATACAAGAATATACTATAATATACCAGAATATATCATAATATGTTATAGTATATTATGATATACTATAATATACTATAATAAACTGTAATATGCTCTTCATTCAGAAAGCCTTAACCCTAAACCCCAACTCGTGGACCCTGAACCCTCCTTAGACCTGAAGCCCTAAATGCTAAACCTTAAAAAATTAATCCTAAATCGCCAGTCCTAAAACACACGCACAAACCTTAGGGTCCAGAAATCGTCCAGAAACCTCCTCAGCAGCTTCTTGATTCGATCAAACTCGCTTGGGCATCTAGTCACAAGCTTGATCAGGGCTGCTGCTACCAGACCTCAGGTGGTTGAGAGTTTAGGGTTTTAGGCTTCGGGTTTAGGGTTTAAGGCTCAGGGTTTTGAAGATGGTCTAGGGTTGTCTGGGATCACATATGGGGCTTTAGTGGAGAATCAAAGGAACATAGCATGAACATGAAATGGACCCTGGAGTCATATCGGTGAATAAAGGACTGGAACTTGGCACAATTTAGGGGCCCCTTTTCGGGGTTCCTGTGGTAAGGATTCTAGTAGTTTGTGCCATATTGGGGTCACCTTATCTATGGAAACTACAACTATGTTCAACGACGTATTAAACATGTCTTCTTGTGTTCTTTGATGGGGTCTGAATGCTCAGCAAAAGGAAATGGCAGTGTTGTCTAGTGCTTGAACCCAGTACTACGGTTCTTTCCGTCTCATCAAATGCCACATCCAAAGGGAACATGAGGGGCTATAGTACCCCTACTTTATTTGAAGTACGACTCAAATGACCCGTGACTGAATCTGTGGGTCTCCCCAATTGGACAGGCAATATGTACACTCACCAAACCCTTTAAGCACTCAACAAAAAACCATCATAAGACCCCTACGTAGAATGGGATAATACCCCAAAAGCTCTAGGAGGCTCCTTTGTCACCTCTATATCCCTCTAAAGGGACCCTAATTCTAGATACTTCTCTAGTAGTGCTGTAGGCGTGGCTGAGGGGCAGTGAGTTGCCGCAGCCTTATCAGCCGTAGGCGGCTTCCTCACCACGTCGTGCAGCAGGTCCAACACATCACCGGGAGTAACCTCGACCAGGCGTTCATGGGATCCTATGCCACCCAGTTTAGGGTTTAGGGGCCCGCTCCCCCCGTACCACCCAGAATCCCCCAAAAAGGCCCAAATAATGTGTGATTGAGGGATATACTTTGTGTTTATCGATGCGTTCTATGCGTTTCTTCAGGAGCCCATGATGCCCTGGGATAAATGATCCCGCAGAAGTGGGGTTTAGGCTGCTCCCATCGGATACCTCAGCTCAGTCGCAACATTAAAAAATGTTAAAAAGTCAACAGCATGATTCAATGATGAAGACAGAAGTCAAGTTGTACGTGAAGGCTCGCACCCATCCGGTGCTAATTTCTGCTAAAAGCCCCTGAGCCCTAAACCCTAATCCTAACCCCTCCTACAGCCCCAAAACCTACTGCAACCCGAAGTCTCCTCAAGCCCGACAACCAAGCACCTTCACCGCCTCCTTACAATTCCCACATGTCACTTGGGTTCCTAGCGTAACCCCACTTTGACAGATTCCCAAACCCCAGAACCCTGCACAGCCAAAAATTATCTCTCTATATATATATATACGGTATATGCGTATTATATATATATATCCTTAGTCCTTCTATATCACCTATATACTTAGTCATACCCCCTATCATTTCCAACCCCCAAACACCAAACCTACACACTACAAGCCATATATATATATACACACATACATATTTATATATATATATGTGTGTATATATATATAATATTTATTCTCCCAGTTAACCCCATATTGTACTACCTCACTTTAAATGGACCTAAGGGAAGCCCAGGGAAACCTCATCCCTAAACCCTAAACCCTAAACCCCTAAACCCTTAAAACCCTAAACCCTTACACCCTTAAACCCCTAAACCCTAAACCCTAAACCAAGTGGCCCGAATGGGCTGGTTGTCAGGTCCGACCGCTCTGCCAGACACCAAGTGATCTCCGAACTCACCTGGGTCTGAGAAGGTTTAGGGTTTAGGGTTTGGGGGGTTCAGGGTTTAAGGTTTAGGGTTTAGGGTTTAGGGTTTAGGGTTCAGGGTTTGGGGTTTCGGGTTTAGGGTTGATCTCAGTAAGGGAGAATGACATTATACAGGGTTATAGCGGGATACCTAGGGGTGTGTAGGGATGTATACTAGGAAGAGGAAGAGAAAATTGAAGCTACAAAATTGTTCCTCACCTGGGTTCTTCTCAAAATGATGGCCCCTTTTGGTTACAGATTATACTACGGCACCTAATATCAAGGGGTACCAAAATGGGACCCGAATTTTGGGGACTACTCACCGGTTTAGGTTTGCGGGCTTAAGATCTAGGGTTCAGAGTGCTCGGATCAAGGTTTGCGGCCGAAAGTATCTAGGGTTTAGGTTTTAGGGTGTAGGGATCAAGGTTTAGGGCTTATGCGTTAAGATTCAAGGCTAGATGGGTACAGCTTCAGGTTTAAGGCTTAAGGTGTAGGGTTCAGAACTTTGGATTTCTGGACGTGTCTCCATTCCTTAGCGGGAAGTATTGCTTTTCAGGCCGGAATCCTCCTTTGAAACATTATTGAGATTGAGCCATCCGATCCCATACCTACTACATCCCCCCATGCCCCTCCCCCAACTAAGACCTAAGTAAGGGATGTTTTGTGGGAAGGGGGGAGACACGGGGAGTAGGGGTCTTATTGATTTGGGCTCTTAAAACTCCTATTACAGAATGTGGCGAATGTCACTGCAAGGGGGGAATAACCTAAAGTGTAAATAAATAATTCTCATAAGAAAAAACATTCCCCCAGCAGAAAAACACACCGAACATGCCTTTTTTCCGAAGACATTCAAAAAGAGTTCTCATTGTCGGGAGACTTGCATTTGTACCTAAATCATAACCCCTCCAGCGTACCCTAAACCCTAAACCCTAAATTCCAAAAATCCTAAACCCTAAACCCTAAGCCCTTATAAACCCTAAACCCCTAAATCGTAAACCTAAACCATAGTACATGCAGAAAAGGCCGAAACATTTCTGCGAGCAAAGATCCACAAAGAGAACAACAGGAAAAACTGGCCTAAACCCAAACTTGTAAGAAGTCTTCCGAATGATGTCCAAGTCACCGAGGCACCAAACTCCCACGTGCACAAGGGCTTCTTGGGTCAAGCTCTCCTGAAGCTTGCGTCCAAGGCTTTCATGGGGTTTAGGGCCTAGGGTTTAGGGTTCGGGGCTTAGAGTTTAGGGTTTGGGTTGGGTACTGGCCCCCCTCAGTAACAGTTGGATTGTAATGGGTATATATAGCCCTTAATAGGACCCCTGATATAGACCGTCACTGGGTGGTGGCAGTACCCAAGGTTTGGGGTTGAAGGTTTAGGGTTTAGGTGATGTCAATATTGCAGTCCCGCCTCGGGCCCCAGAAAATCAAGCCCCCTTTTAAGTGGTACCCTAACACGGTTTAGGGCTTAGGGTTTAGGTTCACAATGCTTGGGGAACGGAGAACATAAGGCAGTTCAAGATGTCCTCCATCCACAGTATGCTAACAATTGTGAACTCATCATTAATCATTAGTATTGCCATGCTTTCGGCTTTTTCAATGACCCGTATAAGAAAGGTTTTTACTTCCGTAATGATCTTGTAATAACCGTAACCTCCACGAACTTGATGCACTGATCAGTAACTATCAAAACATCCAACGTGCAAGATAGAAGAAGATGACAAGCAAGAAAGAGTAGTCTAAGGGAAACGGAATGGGAACCCTGTCCTTCATATTGAAGTATAGCTTGATCACCGTGTAGGAGTGCAGCTCGGGCGTTGCAGCTACCACTCGGCAGAATTTCTCGCGCTGCTGCTCCTTTACGAAGTTGCCACCCAAGCACATCACCTTGATGAGCGTGTCAATCTGCCACCTGGCAAGGTGTGTGAAAACAAGGATGCCTTGTATGTAGGCCCCTATAACGCCTATAACCTCGTAAAAATCCCATGTTTCATTGCATGCTCTTTTAAATTTGATTCTCCATGAGGGGTGATATCCCTAGACCCGATATTATAATGCCTACGAAACCCTATGTAACCCTCATCTAAACACTATATAGGACCTGTACAAACAAGATGATCGTCTGGCTGAATCGAATATCAGGAGAACGCGACCCCTGCTCCGAGGAATGGGCATGTCTTGAACACTCCAACATGTTATACCATTTTTGGGTCCTTTTAGAAGTAAGTTTATATTTTGGGTTCTACATTGAGGCCCCCGAATTCATGGAATATCTAGCCCCCGATATGATAGTCCCACATAACCCGCAACATTTTAAAGGCCATCCAATGCATACATCAGAACCTTTATTGATAACGAAATTCGGACCTCACAGCTATCCTATGGCTCACAAGGGCCCTTATTCTACAATCCCTTATAAGTCACCCTAAACCCTGAATAGTAGTTTCCATCTTCTTTGCCATTATCCCATTATAATCCCTGTATAACCCGAATATATCCCCTATACATCCCCCAAAGTTCCTAAGCTCCGACTTATAAGCCTAAACCCTAAACCCCCTCGACATGTTATCATGACTCCTCCTAAGCCCTCAATATGATCCTTAAACCCTATAGTGGGGGGTTCAGAAATTCAGGTGCTCATTCTTTGTTTGGGGTATTCTAGTATTTTGGGGTGTATACTGGGGTCCCCTATTTATGGAACCCCCTAAACCCTAAACCCTGAACCCTAAACCCCAGGTAACGCCATTGAATCAACTTGAGAGACTCCCAGCCACCTGCGGTTGGGCGAGAATTTCTCCACGGCCAAGCACACCCGGCTACCTTACTGGAGGTTAGTAGGGAATACGTACGGAATATGGGAAACCCTAAACCCTAAATGCTAAACCTTTGACCCTAAATCCTAAATCTTGAACCCTAAACCCTTAAACCCTAAACCCTTCTAAGCTGCAGAGCTCTTCTTTGAAGTCGGGCTCTGCGACGAGAAGGTAATTGAGCAGCTCCTCAAGTTGACTGCATACCCGCCCCTAAGCTATTTGGGCGATTGTCAAAATTATGACCCCTTTTTGGGTACCCTAAACGTCAGGTACCGTATTATAATATGGATCCAAACAGGGACCATAATTTCGACAACCGCCCATTTAGGGCTTAGGGTCTAGGTTCAAGGGTTTAGGGTGTAGTTTTAGGGCTTTAGGGTTTAGGGTGTAGTTTTAGGGTTTTAAGGTTTTAGGGTTTGGGGTGTTAGGGTTTTAGGGTTTAGGGTTTTAGGTTTTAAGGTGTAAAAGGCATAGTCATAAGGAATCCTACATAGACTGCTTTCCTCTTTAAGGGGATGCATGGGGAGTCCATGTTAGTTTGGGGCTCCTCCAGACGAACATGGAACTCCAAAAGATCCACAAACAGCTACTGCCCTTGAAGCTTGGCGGCGTGGGGTTAGGTTGAGGGGTTTGAGGTGTACTGTAGGTGTAGGATGAACTCCAGCTAGGACTGCTATATAAGGCTGGTGTTTTGCGGGTGTATGGTTTAGGGTTTAGCGGTGATCTTTGGAGAATCCTTTCAAAACCTTCGACCCTGCATGCTCAACCTCATGTAGAGGCTTGAATACTTATCAGTATCATTTTAAGGTCTACTTGGGGTACCCTATACCAAATGTAACTCTACAAGGAATCTAGGACCTGTTGGTAACCATTTCATTCCGTCACTACATCACACCTCACAGGACCCTGGTTCCTTGGTCATGCTCTTGATGTTGGACTCGTCCACCAAGGAATAGGTGACGTCCAACGCCCTCTTTCTGATGGAGATGTCCGGATCCTTCAGGGGGGTTGGGATGGCATCCTTAGGTTTTTAACCAGGTTTTTGGCACCCCTGTAGAAGACTATGGCACCGACGTAGGCTGGTCTCTGGGTACCAGTAGTATAGTCCAATCCTTAAGCCCCTTACTACACGCTGACCACCATGACATATGGAAACACATGTGCCCGAATCCCACCGTAAAACCGCTTGAAACCTATAGCTTCCTCGAGTTCCCCACTCCTAGGCCCCGCAAGCCCCTACCCCTGGAACCGCCCAATCTTTAAGAACCTTTCTAATCTCTCACATATCTAGATACCCCTGTCCAAAACCTAGAAACCCCACAAAGCCCTACAGCACCCTATAAAACCCTACACAACCCTGTACAGCCTTCTAAAAGCCCGGAACAACGTTGGGCACTGCCGCCACCCAGTAACAGTCTATATTAGGGGTCGTATTAAGGGCTATATATAACCATATTGTAATTATTGTCCAACTGTTAGTGATGGGGGGGCAGTACCCAACCTATAAACCTTGAACGCCCCAAGCATTGGATCATCCTTAAGGCAATCAATGATGGTGTTGCGGTGTCGCTGCATAACCTGCTGGTCTACATTCACCACACCTGAGTAGCATTCTTTTTGGCGGTTAAACCCAGTAGGATTATATTCCTTATACAAAAAACTATACCCCAAAAGGAGGATATGATCTTACTCTACAATGGGGACCATACTATCCCCGAATAAAATACTACCCACCTGGGTTGATGAAGGAGCACATTTGGTTTGGGATTTCGGGGTTTAGAATTCAGTTCCACGGGCTTTTGAAAGAGGGCTAACTGTGACCCAAGGAAGCCTGATGATATGTCGAGACTTAGGATTCAACAAACTTCCCCCTAAACTGGGTTGCTGATGAGGAACATAAATTAAGTTACCATAATGGGTGTGTGTATATATATGTATATATAGCAATAGTAAGGTTACTTTGCCGCGATAGAGTTCAACCCAGTAAAGGACCAAGGGAGTGGTTTCTGCTCAGATCAACAAGGAGTTTGCCCTTTTTTTTGTGGTCTGGGTTGCATCAGGGCTAAATAATGACAACAAAGGATTTCAAGGAACCCTAAACCCTAAACCCTAAACCCTAAAACCCTAAACCCTAAACCCTAAACCCTAAACCCTGAACCCTAAACCCTGAACCCTAAACCCTAAACCCTAAACAGGACATCTCATGGTGGAGCTTCCACCAAACTCTGATCCAAGAGTTGAGCAAGCTCAGAAAGGGGTTTTGGGTTTAGGGTTTAGGGCTTAGGGTTTATTGTTTAGGGTTTTAGGGTTTAGGGTAAAGGGTTTTGGGTTTAGGGTTTAGGGCTTAGGGTTTAGGATTAAGGGTTTAGGGTCAGAAAGGGGTTTAGGGCTTAGGTTGAGGGTTTAGACTTAGGGTTTAGGATTAAGGGTTTAGGGCTTAGGGTTTGAGGTTCAGGGGTGTCATGGGCCAAATACAAGGATCCATCCTCTGCCGAGATGTCAAGGTCGAAATCATAAGAATACGGGCTCAGTGAATTCAGATGGCGTCTAAGAACCCAAGTTGTTGTAACCACAACCCCTACATTGGGGAACCTATTATAGTCATATGAGCTATAGTCTAAACTCCTAGTATCCCCCTTAATATCCCCTATAGTAGTCCCCTATATAATCCCCTATCTAACCCCCCCTAAGGAGCTTAGACTACAGCTCATATGATATTCTAAGGTCTATACGGACTTAACAGAGCATCTTTGATGCTGACTCTTCCGGCTCAAGCGGTATGTCCCTTGGCTGCTCGCTTTTTGTGCTATGTACCAGGACCCTCCTTGTACCCTTAATTGGGGATATATGGCCCCTAATAGTGGGTACTTAGGCCCTAATAGAGGGTAGGAGGAGGGTCTATGTAGGTATATTGCGAAACACTTGCGTTATGCATACCTGCAGATTTTAGGTACTGTAGGATATCCCCTGGTGATAACTTGGGTTGCTACTAACTGGTATTTATGAGCACCCATTAACATCCTTGCTCGCCCAAGACCTTAAAACTCCCTTGCACACACACATTCCTAAACCCTAAACCTCCTATGTACACCCTAAACTGAATGATCCCACAGTCCAGGTACGCTGGAGGGTTGCCAACGCCACGTAGCGAATGTTGTTGTCACGACTCAACAGGAAACGCCCTAAGATGTTGATGCCCAGGACTCCTTGGTAGCCCAGCAATCATGTTACAAAAAGGATACCCTTTTCCTGTTTCGTGAATTGTAACCCAAAACCCAAAAGCCGGGTACAAGGGTACCACTAGGCCTCCTATAGATACTGTAGTTTCCATTCTCTTTCCCATTACCCCTATACAACCCCAATATACTATAGAAGTTTCCCTTGTATCTTCCATTATCCCTAAACCCTAAACCCTAAATAGTACCATTATCCCTAAACCCTAAACCCTAAACCCTAAAAAGTACCATTATCCCTAAACCCGAAACCCTAAACCCTAAATAGTAGTTGCATCTTCTTTTCCATTATCCCGAGACTCGCAAGCCACTCTCAGCCTCGATAGACATGATGGTCAGGACGCATTCGTACCTGGCTCGGTCCAGGGTTGAGGGTTTAGGATTTAGGGTTTCGGGTTTAGTTTTTTGTTTTAAAGGGTTTTGGGCTTAGGGTTGTTGGTTTAAGGTATAAAGCTTAGGGCTCAACCCCTGAAACGATCGATAGATGTGCTTGCTGTAATGTTTCCTGGCCCACCAAAAAGTTAAGCTTTCAATTGTAGCAGGGCTATATGCTATATGAGCTATAGTCTAAACTCCTAGTATCCCCCCTTAGTAGCGGCTAACATACTCCCCAGTCTATGGCTTATACATACCCCAGAACGTTAAACACTATCCATTCAGCAACTTAGCGCACAAAAGCAAAGTTGAAACATGCTACAGGCCGACCCAGGTGCAGAATTGCATTTCCTGTGTTCTTTGTGCCCTCCGTGTTGGTGGCAACCTGTTAGCAGGTTGTCGAGGCTTGCGTCGACTAGGGTTTAAGGTTTAGCACGTTGCAGAGGTGACAGAGCCAAACATTCGCAGAAGGTCCTCTAATCAAACAACCCTCACATGCTTCTCTGTGGCAGCAAGCCAAGTGCGAGTCGCCTTCCTAGCCGGACCCCTACAGGGAAAGCCCCACCCTGCCCTAGACCCTGAACCCAAAACCCTGTAAAGCCCCAAATTACTGCCTGAGCCAAGATGTCGTTCATCTCATCGCTTGCATCCACACTTCGCTCCCCCAAAATGCGCAAGAGTCGCAAGATCTTGGCCTGCAAAAAGGGGTCGGTGATACCTGCAATGTCATACTCCTTGGATACGGGAGTTTCTCAAAATAGGGCTTAGGGTTTAGGGGTACGTCAGGGACCCTAGCCAGGGATGCGTGGGGATTATGAGGGCGTTCTAGGGTTGTAGAGCGGCTGTTTTGAGAAATACCCATAGTGCTGAGGTACTATCTTAATTGAGCAGGTTTCATGTATGTTGAGTTCACGCTGACGTACAATTCTAAAGATGCATTTCTGATGAATCTTGGGTTGGTGGGACTATCAAGATTATCATTTGGCAGCCCATATTTCTTGGGTTCACATATATCTGAAAATGTGGGAGGTTCCACCAACGGCGGTCCCCATACAAAAGCATCCCCCCCCAATTTTTGAAATGTTATGCAAAATCGTGTCTAACAAGCGCCCAGGCTCAGCTGCGTTTGAGTAGCCTGAGGTCACCATGTTTCGAAGGGCTCGCACTAAGGAAGGGATGTAGCGCCGGAACTCTTTGACGTAAGATGGGTTCACCTCAAGCTTTAAGGTTTTGAGGAAAATGGGGAGAAAGTCCCCCTTAAGTAGATGGAATATGGGGTCTATGGGGATCTTATTATAGTATACCCAAAGCCATATTCTATCTACTTAAGGGGGACTATATGGTTTGGGGGTTGAGGGTTGTGGAGGTTTCGCGTTTGGGGTTTCTAGGTTTCGGAGGAGAGGCTCTGGGGCTGCTAGTATCTGGGAGTTTGAGGGCGGCGGGATTCGGGGTTCAGGGCTTAAGGTTTAGGGTTAGGGCTTAGGGTCTAGGGCTTAGGGTTTAGAAAAAAAAACCAGCGGACTTTTACGCCTGCCGAAGCACTGGGGCTTAGGGTTTAGGGCCTAGGGTTTCGGGCTTAGGGTTTAGGGCTGAGGGCATAGGGTTTGGGTTCAGGGGTTCCAGGTAACTTGGCGAAAGAACAACTAAACCACGCCTCTTTATACTGCACACTCTCATAGGCTCGAAGAAAACATTTACAGTTTTCGGGTGGGGGGGATGTTCAGTCTTAGGGGGAGGTGACTAATCTCCTCCTCAGATACCTCTCATCATGAAATTCCTGACAACCCTAAGAACAAGAATGCCCCCCCCCCCAGTATAGAATGGCATTGTGATAGACATGTTTGTCACCAGAATGTTGGATTTCATATTTTGGAGGAAGAGATCCCACCCTGAATCCTGCCCTGTACATCCTTAACCCCAAAAACTCCCCAACCCTAAACCCTAAACCCTATTCCACCCTGAATCCTGAACTGTAAATCCTTAACCCAAAAACAATAAACCCTACACCCTAAACCCTAAACCCTAAATCCTTTACCCGTTATCCCAGTCACCTCGAGCAGGGCCGTCAGCAAGGAGCAGCCTGCTAGAAGCACTCCATGGTTGCGGTCCTCTAACCTTGATTACTTTAAGTATAGGGTTTAGGGTTTAGGGTTTAGGGTTTAGGATTTAGGGTTGCGGCCCTCTAGCCCTGATTACTTCCATGTACCCAGTAATTCGGTTTTAAGGTTTAGGGTTTGGGGGATATATAGGGACATAAAGGGATACATAGGGGTATTTAGGGATATGTAGGGTTTAGGGTTGAGAGTATACCTGTAGCCTCAATCACCTACACTTTAATAGTAACTACCCCTTAGGTAGTAGGGGTAACCCACAAAACTGTAGGTAATTGGGATCACCGGTAGGATATTGGGCTTAGGGCCTTTTTTATATTTTAGAATTTAATAGGGATAGGTGTTTGGGGTTTAGGGTTTAGAGTTTACTCAAAGGACTCAAAGGCTCAGGGCACTTAGGGAGCAGGTCCGGTTTGGGTTCGGTCTGCATATGACTATAACCCGATCTATTACCCGCTTACTAAATCCCCTGGTCCTCTAGGCACTGGATTGTTCAGGTGTGTTTAAAAGGATCCTATCTTGTCCATGTGGGGTTCAGGTATGCATAGAGATGTAACATGTCCTTCCACATCAACCCAGAAGCAGGTTCCCGATCTTGCCGTTGAATTTGTCTTCAATCTCATCCACTTTTCGGATGATTCCTGGGTGCAGCAGTAATGTATCCACAAAGACAGGGTGCGCTCTTCTTAAACAATAAGCCCTTAACCTTACCTCCTACCCCCCTGCCGCCCCCCCCCTCCCCCAAGCCCCAAAGGGGCTTGTGGGGGGCATGGTACACTGGAGCCCAACACGGGAAGAAGGCTACCTGGCGGACAAAGATTCGCATGGCGCATAGAGCGGCCTTCTTCCTGAGGTATGGATTCGAAGAAGTCATCATCTGCTCCACCTGCGTGTCTCTGAAAGTTGGTTGGGGTGAGAAAATGTAGCCATGTTGAGGAACTGTGTGATACGGTTGATGGACACAATCCCGCATGACCGTGAATAAACTTGGATACCATGAATTTTTAAGGTGTAGCAATATGGGGTCATCAGGATTGCGTCCATGGACCGTACGTCTTTCGCATGGTACTCAGAGGCTGAGCGGACTTGGCCATAAAGGGGGATATGAGCAAACTCACCCTAATCAGGGGACTTACAACCCAGTTTAGAACCTACTTACTACATGCCCTGATCCTTCAAGTAGAGAACCCTAAACTCTAAACCCTAAGCCCTTAACCCTGAGCCCTAAACCCTAAAGCCAAAATCCTAAACCCTAAACCCCATTCATGTTTCAGGAGCACCCACCTCTCTGGCTAAGGCTCTGCACATCTCATTGCTGCCAATGTTGCCCAAGGCGCAAAGCGCCAAGCCTGTGACGTACTGATTGTCGCTGCTCATGTCATTCCTGGGCTATAAGTCAATAACCATAAGGGGTATGTGTGTGTATATATATATAGGCAGATATATAGGATATAGAGGGTTTAGGGCATAAGGCCACCCAATAATAAAGAACCAAATGGAATATAAAATGGAACATGAAGTGGAAAATGGGTTTATAAGGGTACGCGAGGTTTTGCCCTTAAGCGGGATCTATTGGGTTGCTGTTAAGGAACATAACTTAAGTTATCAGAATGGGTATGTATATATATATATAGTACATAGTAGGGTTTCCCAAATATAGTGACTTAAAACAATTTCCCTAGCAGCAACCGAGATTCTTGATTGAGTTGGTCACTAGCATGAGAACCTCCGTGTTCTCATCCAATAACTGTGTCAGACCGAGATATCCCACCCGCTTTTCGGGGAACTTGCTTGATGCAATTAGCTTCAAGCACTCCATCTGACCGAAGTGGGTCGGATAGCCCATCATATGAATGAAGAGCAGTTTTGCAACATTTCGATGTCTGAACTGGTTGTCATCCTCCTTGAAGGCTGTTCGAATCAATGCACATTCTCGCGCTATGACCGCCCGTTCCTCCGCTGCAGTCTTGCATGCGCGGATGCTCCGGATTAGCTCACGGAGCTTGATGGACATGGCTCTCTAAGGCCCGTCAGGGCCTACACCTTCGAGATCCCTGAGCCCAAGAGCAGCAGATGTTCACTCAAATGTGCAGATCCCTTTTGAGATCTTGTGCTGGATTACACAACTTTGGGTCTAGACCCGCAGCCTCCAATTGCGGAAGAAGCGGAAGTATAATTGCTGGTGTTTGCACGTTGGGGCCTGAACTTGACATATCTTGCTGCCCGATGATCATGCATATTGTTTGAGGGTGCATACAGTAGGGACCTGAATACAAATCATTTCAAACCCTAAACCCTGTACCGATTGTTTTAGGTACCCTAGCCCATAATCATACAAGGAACCTTGGATAATACATTTGTTCGTTATTCAGGCTTTTACACCACATGACGCCTGTAAACCCCTACTGTAGAACCGTGATATAGCCCCAGCTGACATTTTATCATGGATGTCCTTTTCCGCCTGATGCTCCAGTACTGGCGTAATCCCTAAACCCTAAGCCCTAAGGCCTAGATCCTAACCCCTAAACCGTACTCCCTAAACCCCCAACCCCAAACCCTAATCCGTAAACCCTGAACCCTAATCCCTAAACCCTGAATCCTAATCCCAGAACCCTAAACCCT